TATAAAAAGCAGTATACTCATTACGCTGCATTAACTTCCCTTCTGTTGAAATCTCGGAAATCTGGTGTTTGCTCGGTTTCGTATTCCTGGGGCGCGCCCACTCGCGCCCCGCCCGCGAGGACGGTTATCTGGTTTAGTTTAGCGTTAACGCGAGGCCGTACATCTGCGCGCTATGCAAAAAGAAAGCTACGAAAGGAACGCGAATATCTGTCCACCGTTAAGTTCGCGGATTGTTGAAGTTCATGAAACTGCTCTCATGATATAATTATATTCGTGAAATCGAAGGCAGTTGGTAACCATGTGTGGGACCCCGAGGGGCTGCCTGCATGCTCCGCCGCTTGCGGCAGCCAGAATGTATGGGAAAATGGCGGACCTTTTCCTCTAGAGTTAGTATGTATGATCTCTATGGAATGCATGGGAAAATGGCGGACCTTTTCCTCTAGAGTTTTTATGTACAATCTCTATGGTTGAAGCGGCGTCGCACAACGCTCAGCGTGCGGCGGCGGCGCGCGGGCCTACCACATGACCAGTGCCGACTCCCGCGGGCGCCAACTACAAATTCGTTTTGCGCCGCAAATATAGCTTTTTTTTTAACTTCATTTTATAATGATCTTTTTCCATCTAGCCTGTTTAAAAAAAAAGTTTTTTTCCTTTGCACGTGTCAGTTAATACACAAAGTTTGATTGCTACAAACCTGATAGTTCGCAGGTTTAATTGTGGTCGTAACAGAGACGAATCGTGAAACTAACTAAATTAAAAAAGCCTTTTGCTTGCGCCTTTCGCACCGGTTGCACCACGTCTCATTTCCTTCACAAGCAAAAGTTGTAGATACACTTGACAGGGATCGGCGATCGCAATTCGCGAGCACAAAACGAAAGCACAACATCGCGAACCGCGAAACGGCGCACCACGGCGGGCAGTGGTCGGCGCGTGGTTATGGTGCCTGAAACGCGTCTCCGACTGGTGTGTTAACCGCGTCCAAGAAAGTGGTCCCTCCATTTTCAACTGATGACGTCATACAAGTGTCATGCTGTCGCCGGTCGCGAACCTGGCGGCGTTCCAACAGTCGTGGTACAAAGTGCAGACGCCTGTTCTGCTTTAGGTCGCTCTCCACTATCACGGTCCACGGAAAAGCAGCCCGAAGTTGGGACGCCTGGGACGCCGTGACAACAGTGACACTCGCGTTCGCTCGTGCATTTCGCAAGCATTACTCCCGTCAACGGCCAGGATCGCGACAGGCAACATCACACTCCAGCTTCTGTGACGTCATTTGTTGCCACTTTGAGACCACTTTTGATGTATGGGCGGAATAGGAAGCTAAACACACCAGTCGAAGACGCGCTCCAGGCACTATAGACCTTTTCATTTTAGTAGTTGCCCCACAGACGGATAGAGGGTGCTGACGCACTCGGCACCATTAGGTAGTAGTAGTAGTAACAAATTTATTCCGAAAAAGGGTGGCACTTGGCCTGTATTATGTAGCTTCAATTTGGTGGGTTTCAGTTTCAACGTGAACGCGGTTATGGTGCTGTTTTACGTTGTTTTTGGTTAAGTTTGTGATACGATTATTTTCCTTGAAGGACACAACCAATGAAACAGTGGTATTGAGCCACTTTGATGACTACGAAGTGTATTTTAGCCTACGGGCTTTGTTTTTCCAACTCCTTTGATGTACCTGATTATGGTCGGTTGCGAAACGCCTCACTGATGTACAGGGAAGATTACCATCGTCTGCGGCCGTACCCGATGACACTAGTTTCCAGAAAAGACAACCAATGAAGAGACTAACGCGTGAATATAAAGCAGCATATCGACAGCTTGATTAGCAATGTGCTGGATCGGCCATAACAAACGAACTCGCGAGTTTACTACTCGCTGTTTGGTTTTCGTGGGCACTCAACCCTTAGTGAACTTCGCAGACTAAAAAAACGTATTGTGTAATGACGCAGATAATTGATATAGACAAATAGTATCGTCTCGGCCTCTTTTTTTTTTTTTTAATTGAATACTCGAGCATGTTTTGACAGGCCGGGTAGGAAATTTCTTAAATTATCAACACTGCTAAACTACTCATAAGCAGCATTTCGCGGTATAGGCCCTAGGAAATAAATTATTTTTATATTAACATTTGCTTATTCAAAATATGATGTAAGTCACAGGTCCGTCAAGTTGAATCTGGCAATTGTCTTCCGTAAAACTGGCCAAATAAAGTTAAAGAGCGCAGGAGGAGAAATACCCCGGAAAGTTTGACTGAATTCTAGCGCTAGGCACCACTTCACGGACCTTTGTGAACAAATATTTATTTGTTTGAACATACTCGCTTTGTAAAGTTCGGCAGCGCCAGCCACCAAAAGTAAACCTCTATTCGCCATCGACAATCCTGGACTCAAATAATTGTAATGCAAACATCTCTTTTTTTTTTTTCGGCGTCAAGTATTGTTGTTTTCAGATACTGGCAAAATTTAAAACATGTACGCAAAAAAAGAAAAAAAGAAATAAATAAAAAGAAGAAAGGCGTCGTCGTTATTGAGCATGCGCCGAACACAAACTGCGTTTTGAATTTGCAAATAGAAACGATGTTATTTCTTTGTGCACGCTATTCTAAAACTCGCTACTGTTTAAGTGTCTGTGGCAGTTTCTCACGCAAAAAGTCCCAACATTTGTGTTGAGATTAATTAAGTGGATGCCACTGGTTATCTATAAATCACTTCAATGACTATCAAAATGGGAGCGAGCACGGAGTACAATTTCTCAAACTTCATAAGTAAACCGACCAACCAAATGATTACGTCGCGAAAAAAAAAGGTTGAGAACCTCATACACATGTAGGTGTGATTTTATGAACAAACAAATCGTCTGATGCTGACGTACCATTACTTCTAGCCTTAAATAAAGTATAAGTTAAACGCTCGTTGTCCATCTGCTCCACGAGCTACCTTACATAATCAAAACAAACTGTTTTTGATATATTATGAGTACAAAGAACGATACTTTCAGGAAATACACATAATCTCCTTGCGCTGACTACTGACGCCTTCCAATCCTAAATAAGTGATATAAATATACGCGCTTCTAACTATGAGTGTTCCGCCACTATTAGTAAACAAACCTCAGTTGTCATAAAGACCTTTGAATCCTCGTGGTGTCTTAGTCGTCGAGTAGGCGGATCGGACTACAATTTCCGAAGTAAGGCAAGAAGTGCGGTGAAACGCAACGAAAAACACGAAGAAAACGCATCCGCCGAGGCGCGGAGAGGAGAGCGGAGCAGCAAGTTGAAGCAACCTAATGGCTGCCGCGCCACGTGATTCCAAGATGGCAGCGCCCATGCGGAGGAGGATGAAAAGGTTTATAGCGTGGCCGGCGCTGGTCGGCGCTAGGTCGGCGCGGGCGGCGCTCGCGCCACCTCTTGGCAGTAGAGCCAACCAATTGTTTTCCTAGTTTTGCAGGCAGAATAGAGGTGGCGCCCCGCGCGCTCCACGTCGTTTGCCGGGCGATTCGAAATTAGGGGGGCTACGTTCGAAGAATGTTTCATTTCTCCTAAAAAGAAACGGATGTGATGGAAGTGACGATATTGCGTCTGATTGGTTAGAGGCTCAAATGATGAAAGTTCCCTTTCGTCATTTGAGCCCCTAACCAACTAGACGCGATATCGTCACTTCCCATCACTTCCGTTTCTTCCTATTAGAAACAAGACATTTGTCGAACATAGCCCCCCCCCCCCCCCCCCCCCCCCCCAGCTTGACCAAGTCCCTCGCATTCGGAAACCTAACCTACATTTTAATTCGAAAGCATTAACTGTCTCATGAAGCGTCTGAAGGTATTCGCAGCAGAGTCAGTTGACTCGCTATAAAAGATAATCGCATGCGGAGAGACGTGCCTCTAACTACAATATTAAAATAAAGAGTCAATTTGTGCCATGAAAAACTCTCACGCCGCCGAGAATAAAACTGTCATAAATAGAACTGTGAACGACGTAAAGGAAAAAACGGCGGCACTGCTGAAGGGATTGACACATGACGGTCTGCGACAATGCATTATTTTCTGAGCAGGAAGTATGTTTAAGAGGATATGAGTGAAATTCTCAGATTCTAATGATAAATCACTGTTTTGCTACCAGCCTCGTTATGTAATAGCCACAGCTGGTAACTCGTGCAGCACCGCTCAGCTGGCCTTTTGACAGCGTAGCCATACAACTCCAGAGGCCGCTGTATAAAGACATCTGTTCAACGTTTTGTGTAATTTGGCACGACGCTAATTTGGTTTTGAATATTGCGGGAAAACATGTTGCGGTTTTACGTGCCATTTCGCAGTTAAGACGTCGCTCGTGCGGCAAAAAAAAAGTGTGGTGAAAACATCGGTGGTTACCGCCGCACTTCCGACGTCGCAAACGAAATCGAAGTATGTGAATCTGGCTTCAGTCAGCGCCAGAAGTTCACAGACAGTAAATTTAGAGTTTGCCCTTAGCAGTTGCCGGGAAAATCGACAAGCCTTTTTTCCTCTAACAATGGCCTTTTATGCCAGAAGCCTTTTTTTTTTACGTTTAAGGAGAAAGGTCATAACGCGAGGCAATCACGAGACATAAAAGATGGCAACTTCTGCACGATTTAGTGCTTTTTGCACTAATGACAAAATCAAATTATTGAAGTTCGAACCTTTCTTGTTATTCATTAACAGAACTGTCATTCGCAGCCTTCAATGCTTATTGTTAGTATTAGATCTCGTCCCCATGTAATTCACGTCGCTGAAGTGTCTTTGGAAATAGTAGACTGAACTTAACTGAGTGCTCTCATGGTGCAGAGTTAGTGAATATTTACTTGGATCTTAGCGAAATCCATGGACGTCACGACAAGCATATCGTGTTCCAGAAGTTGCATTTGACTCCAAGGTTTTATTTTTAAGCTTGCAGAAAAAAATGAAAAAAGTGAGAAATTCGCGGCGTATAATAAATGGACACTTCTGACACTTTTATGTTTGCACTAATAGAAAAAAGAAAAGAATAATCAGTGAGCTTCGTAAGTCAAGGAGCCCATGCAGAACTCAAAGTCGGCATCTCTGATCTTCATCTCCACCTCGGAGTAAACGTTGAAGTAGGAATTTTCATCGTTTCGATTGTACCAGGTAATACCAAGGCCTTTTGAAGTTTCCGGAACATTTTCTTTGAACTTCCATCCATTAAGGTTCGAGTGGATACAACCATTAAACCACCAGCCACCGCTTATTTGTGAGACGCAATGGTCTCCACTGTGTTCTCCATTCTTCTTCACGCTGAACGTGTGTCCATTGTGGGAGCTCAGCGCGTCGTAACCTGCACATGCGCAGACAGCGTGAATGAATCAATTGCGTTGACCACTCTAAGACTGCTATAGACTTACAAGACGTACATATAATATAATCTGTTCTATGAAAGAGAAACATCTCGAAACCTCCTGCTGTATCAGTGGAGTGAAAAGACAAACAAAAAAAACTGTCTTAACGTGATAATTATTTTTTAGGTTTCCGTTATTGGCTTGTAGCTTTTATATCCAAGTCTCTGCGAACGTCTCTAGCCGAATTAAATAGTAAACTATATTTTCCGGAAAACAACAGTCAGTATTTATTATTAAATTGCATTTTCACTCTTTCCTAAAAAAAGGTAAGCTTTATAGCGTGTGTGGAGAGGTCTGTTTCAAATGCCAGTGGACATGTCATCAGTGTCAGGGGAACGACGTAGCAATCGCGATGCGAGAGCCGACTGCGCCTCGATCTTGCCGGCCGCGCTCGCTCTGCGGAAATGTCAGCTTGGGACTCTCGAGCCCGTTAGCTTAACGAAGACGCAAGACGCTACTTTGTCGTTGCGAATCATTTGCTCATCAAATGGCTGCGAAGCCATTCCAACGCCCGGCGTAACCTTCGCAGCGTCTTTCAACAACCGTTAGCGTAGCTTCGCCACTTTCCGTCTGCGAGCGCCGGCGGTTCGCCGTCGCGGGGGTTCATGTTCGAGGGAGTTCATGCTCGAGGAGATTCATGTTCGCGGGGGTTCATAAAATGCTCGCATTCAAGTCGCGACGATGAATCGCCGGCGCTCTCAGACTTCCAATAGGCGCCAGAAAGCTTGGCAATGCTGCGCGGGTGGTCGCCGACAAGCGATGCTGCCTAGGGTACGCCGAGCACTGGAACGTTTTCGTAGGCGTTCGCAAGGCAAATATACTTAACGACAAAGCAGCGTCCTGCATTATCAGCAAGCTAACGCTGCTCGAGAGTCCCAGGCTCACATTTTGTCAGAGCGAGCGCGGACAGCCAGATCGAGAAGCAGTCGGCTCTCGCGTCGCAATTGCTGCGTCATTGCTCTGACTAAACAATTGACATGTGCACTGGCATTCCACACAGTACTTTCAAGGCTTCATGAGCGTCAAAAATACGCGTCTATAGCGCGATAGGGTGTCGCGAAAACAGAAAAGCTTATCCCGGCAGGGGCGTAAACAGCGGGGTGATGTCCGTCGACGCCCGCATCGAGAATGGCTAAATATATATATATATATATATATAAAAAAGCACAAGTTAACCGCCAAAAATATCTAAGTATTATCGTTAAGCACACGCCACCCCAGATACGTCCTATAACCTCTCTGTTCTGCGAATTTCACAAATCAAGAAGAGCTATTGATATTTTTTTTTCTTTTTTTTTTTTTTTGCTTTAAATTATCAGATACTAAAGTCAAAAGTAGTTAGAGCTTCTTGGAGCACACAACCCCACCATGTGTCATCGTGGTGCTCGGAGGTTTTAATTGATGACACTGTGTCGTGAACTCTACTCACGAATACAAAACCTATTATGGCAGAAATTTCGAAACCCACGAAATCAGAAATGCCACAATGATGCTAGCCGCCTCGGTGGCTCCGAGGCGAGAGCGCCGGCCTACGGATCCCCAGGTGGCGAGTTCGAATCCCGACCGAGGTGCCCGCAATATGACGGAGGCTCATTGCGGAGAAGGCGCCGTGTAACCGAGCTTTCGGTTGCACGTCAAAAGATCCCCAGGTGGTCGAAATTAATCCTCAGTCCTCCGCTGGGGCGTGCCAGATGCCCGTCGTAGGTTTGGCACGTAAAACGCCCAAATTTTACTTTGATTTGGTCACAATGATGTTAAGATGCCAAAAATTCAAGTTTAAAAATGGAAACCTAACAGTGTACACATAATTCTAAATTTGTTAATAATAATAAATATATATACATATACATAATATAAACGAACATATGCACACTAAGGAACCGTACTTAACCGAATGAATAAAAGAATCAAAGTTCTAAGAGCCCGCCCTGAGCCAAAATATATGGCGGAGCCAGGATTTGAACTCTGGGCTATCCAATGTCCGGTCGGGTGTGCTGGCAACAACAACACTTTTTTTTTTCCTTTATTGAACACAAGTGCAGCACAAAATCCGATGTCAAAATAAACACACATCACCCAGGCGCTTGTGGGCCACTAAAATCCTTTCATATTTTTGATTGCAACAAACAGATTTGCCCAGTCGGGTGCAGTGTCTGCAGTCCGACAGTACACAGATTGTGCTTGGGTGACAACATCAATAAAGTGCCTATACACAGGTTTAATATGGGGGTCTGCATGCCGGAATTCCATGAGAGTTTTCCAGATGCTAAATAAACCGAGCACTATGAACATATCATAAGGAACCGCTTCGTACGCATCGACTGGTAGAAATCGAATCGTTTCTCTCGCGATACATAGGTCTTTTTTCAATGTTCTTTGGAGAACATCCCCAAAAAAAACAGCGCGTCCCAACAATCAATGAAGACATGCTCAATAGTCTCGGGGTTTTTGCACAGCCAGCAATTGACAATGGTACGAAAATTCTTTTTTCCTGGAGCCAAGGCTTAACAGCCAATGTTTCACTATGTAGTTTAAAAAAGAAGGACTTAACGACAGGCGGGATACATATTTTCTTTACACGGCAAAGAACATCTTGTCCAGGACACTGATTGTAAAGGGAACGATACATGGGTGGGCGGGGAAAAGTAACTCAACCAGGTCGCGGGCTAGCCTCTTTTTCATGACAGTGCCCAGGTAGTCCATCGAAAAACGTGTTTGTAGAAATAATGTGCCGTCCTTGACCTCCTTCAGAAACCTAAAAAGACTTCAGGGCTCTGTGCAGTCACTTGTGACCAAGACATTGGTGAGTGAGTTTGCTAGTTTCATCTGGACTCTGGCACAGAGAAATGGGTGATTCTGGTCACGTAGAAACATAAAGCGTGATACAAGTCGCCTCACAAAAAGATGCGTGAGCCCGAGCCCCCCGAACTTGACACGTCGAAAAAGGTCTCTCCTCATTCTGTTCCAGCGCGATTTCCAGACGGAAGTTGCAAAAACCCTGTGAAATGTTTGGATGTTAGTTCTCCCGCAGGCAAGCGCTTGCATCAAAAACCATAGTTTCGCTGCCAGAAAGACATTACAAACAGTGGCTCGTGAATATATTGAAAGATCACGATTGGCCCAGGAGTCTGTTTTTGCCTTTAAGTCTTGCGTCACCTCATTCCAGTATGGTGTGCTAACCCTGTAGTACTGCAAAGGGACTCCTAAATAAGGCCATGGTGTACTACTCCAGCTAAAACCTGCAAATGAAAGAGTCTTCGAGGCCCAGCTGCCATGCCAGAACCAGCAGCTTTTTACCCAGTTTACAGCAGCGCCGGTCACTTCAGAGTACATTTTTGCAAGCTCTACAGCGTTGGTTACACTTTTCTTGTGCGTGCAAAAAACCGCAACGTCGTCAGCATACGCTGAAATTTTATTTCCACCATATTTAAAGTGTAACCTTGGATATTTTTACTGGCTAGCACTTTTAAGCAGTAAGGCTCTAAATATAAAGAGAACAGTAGCGGTGATAAATGACACTCTTGTCGCACTGATGTTACCACCGGTATACTTTTAGATGCGTTATTATTGACTACAAGTCTAGTATCACATCCTTTGTATGCAATTATTACACCATTTAAAATAATCTGACCAACATTAACATGCGATAAAATCCTCTCAAGGACGTCGTGTCGTACTCGATCAAAGGCTTTCTCAAAGTCGAGCTGAATCATAGCCACTTGATCGTTCTCCTCTGAAGTTTCTAATATGCTTCTCACGACGTGTATGTTTGTTTGTGTTGAGCGCCCTTTAATGCCGTCACTTTGATGCTCACCGACGAGACTACTACTAACACTTTGGAGTCTACGTGTGAGGACTTTCGCAAAAAGTTTATAGCCAATGTTTGGTAACGTGATCGGCCTGTGACACTGCGTCTTTTAATTGAGTCGTCTGACTTTGGAATTAAAATGGTGTGGGCATCAGCAAATGACCGCGGCATTTGCTGCTTTTCAAATGACTCATGAAAAATGGAAAGCAGATAAGGACAGATATCTTTCTTGAACATTTGGTAGAACTCGGCGCAAATGCCGTCAGGACCAGGTGTTTTCTCCCTGCCGGGCGGTTCTCATTTGAACCCGTTCGCATTTCTACCTTCTCGATTCAACCTTCTCATTTCAACCCTACGCAAAACAACTTTCGCTTTTCTCCTTTTCTCACTTAAACCGTTCTCAAAACGACCTTTCGCGTTTTCACCATTCTCAAAATGACTTTTCTCATTTTAACCTTTCTCCTTCGAAATTTTCGCAAAACATACTTTCTGGTTTTGACCATTCTCAAAAAAGACTTTTCTTCTCATTTTAAACTTTCTCCCATTTCAAACTTACTAAAAATATACTTTCTCTTTTTGTTCATTCGGAAAATCACTTTTCTCATTTCAACCGCCACGGCATGGCGGACGACGCATAGGCAAATATACAATGATCGTAGATCTGTACGATCACTTCGACATCGGTTGTAAATAATTCAGTATCCTCCCAGGGCATGCCAGATGAGCAGAATTTGCATCCGATGATTCACAACTGAAATGAAGAAAAAAATCTGTGCCTGGTAGGAAAGCCCTCAAGCCACGCATCACCGCACCCGCACATTAAAAGAAGAAAAAAAATCACAGTTTTATCACTGCTTGTTGCGCCCTTATAGTCTATTTCATAAATTTCTTTGGTCACAGCATACTTCTTTGGTCACAGCATACTTCTTTTCGTCAGCCAAAGCTCGCTTGGTCGGCTGCTCCCCCCCAAAAAAACTTTTCTGACCGGGAGTGGACAACCGCCCCGCTATACCTCAGGGTTAGGCAGTATCGCGATACAAATGTATCGCGATAGTATTTCAGAAATACATTTCGTATCTGTATTTCTGTATCGCGATACATTTTTTTCACCAGTATCTGTATTCCTGTATC